ATAAATCTCAAGACATTGAGCTTTTAGTACATCCGCGTAATGGTTTGGGATGGGGAAGAAGTTATATCGTTTTAAACATAGTAAAAAATGCGAACTTCCTGACCGACAGCGGCAAAGTCGCATCAGGGCTCATTAACCCCGTGACCCCGAGCCGGGGAGCTCCGGCGGGCTGCTGAGTCACGCGAACTAAAAGTAACAGAATCGGGCGAAAAGTGACGCCGTGTCTTACATGGAACATTTGCTAAGTAAGTTCTTACATGGAACATTTGCTAAGTAAGTTCTTACCATGGGTGGCTGGCGGGTGCTCTGCTGTGATTTGCTCCTTTTTTCTTGTCAAACATCTGTTATCTTTCTCTCTCTCCTCTTCCTTTTTTGTGTTTGCTACTTTCTTGTAACGCCTCTAATCTTCTGCATTTATATAACCTCCTTGGGTTGCAATTGCCATAAAATTCTTATTAATACATAAGTTGTTATGTCCTTTTTGGCTTCTGATTTTCTCCTGTCCTTGGTATTTCCGACAGAAAGACATAGTTATGACAAGTAGACGTAAGTATTCATTGTAGTTAGCGTGATGAGAAGGACCTGATGTTTCGATGTTCTATTTCAGGGTGGCGAGAAACGTCGGAGAGAACAAAATGTCCATACAGAATCTGGCCACCATCTTTGGGCCCACGCTCCTGGCCCCGGCCTCGAAGGAAACGTCCAGCGACCCCCTGGAGATGATGAGCAAGGGGGCGGAGCAAGTGATGCATCAGTCGAGTGTTGTGAATTATCTGCTGGGCCTGGCTGTCAGTGGGCGGAGTCTACGGAGGACCGCCTAGTGGGGGAGGGGGGGAGGGGCTACATGAATGATGGCTGTCAGTGGGCAGAGTCTACGGGTCAGGGGGTGGGATCTACGGGTCAGTGTGCGGAGTTTACGGAGAGGGCGACATGGATGATGGCTGTCACTCAGTGCAGCACTTTGCCAATTGAGAGAATCCAGTCCACGTTTTTGCGTATAACGGATGGATTTCTTTGTTTGTTTGGCTATGGTGAAGTCTCAGTGTAATCAGAGACGGTACGTCACGTGGTGGATCATAGAGACGGTACGTCACGTGGTGGATCATAGAGACGGTACGTCACGTGGTGGATCATTCCCTGAACAAAACAAATGTCCTGCAAAGTGAGCAAACGTTGTGGTATAATTGTCGCCGCTGGTGCTGAGGAAATGGTTTTGTTTACTGCCTCCAGTAGATGTTCTGACAGATCCGTGGCTGGTCCTGGTCGTTGTAAAGGTTAAATGTCGTCCCATATCAGTGGTGTCCAACAGGAACTGGAATGTTGCTACCAGTTTTTTCAGCTGTTTTTTTGTGTGTTTCCAACAGAGGAGTGAAGCATTTTGTAGCACACAGTTTTTATTCTGTTTTGTTCTTTGTTCCAGAACATGTATGGGCTGTTTTCACAATATTCCAATTATTCCAGGATTTTCTAATACTGTGCTTGTAAAAACGTGTAGAAATGCTGTAAACTAATGTGCTATAAATTCAGAGATTATATCTGCAGAAGTTTCCGTATTTCTTCTCTTAGTCTTGTCCATAGCTTTTTCTCGCCATATCTCGTTTCTGTCAGGGAAATGACGTCAGTGTGTTCCAATCTCATGTTCTGAACTAATGGTTTGTCTTAGGATGATTGATGCTGTTTGTCAGTGACAGACTGAAATGTGATCTAGAGGGTTCAATTGACAGTGAGAGACTGAAATGTGATCTAGAGGGTTCAATTGACAGTGAGAGACTGAAATGTGATCTAGAGGGTTCAATTGACAGTGAGAGACTGAAATGTGTTGTAGAACAGGGAGAGTTCAAAGCTAGATCTACCGTTGTAGAGCAGGGAGAGTTCAAAGCTAGATCTACCGTTGTAGAACAGGGAGAGTTCAAAGCTAGATCTACCGTTGTAGAACAGGGAGAGTTCAAAGCTAGATCTACCATTGTAGAACAGGGAGAGTTCAAAGCTAGATCTACCATTGTAGAACAGGGAGAGTTCAAAGCTAGATCTACCGTTGTAGAACAGGGAGAGTTCAAAGCTAGATCTACCGTTGTAGAGCAGGGAGAGTTCAAAGCTAGATCTACCGTTGTAGAACAGGGAGAGTTCAAAGCTAGATCTACCGTTGTAGAGCAGGGAGAGTTCAAAGCTAGATCTACCGTTGTACGTTTCCCAGTCGCAACTGTTGGGGGTCAGAAAAACATTGGGCTCTGTCTACATTTATTGCTCTAGAAGAATGTTAAGTTGTTTCTTATCCTTTCATGACTTGTACGCGTACGTTGTTTTTTATCCTTTCATTACTTTTACGTGTTAGTTGTTTTTTATCCTTTCTTGGCTTTACGTGTAAGTTGAGTTATTCCGCCTTGATGACAGTTTTTTGGAAAATGTATTTTGTCGCAGTCGCTAGAAAAATGAGTAGCACCTGTATTTTTTTACTCATCCTCTATTTCAGCGTCAAATTGGGTCGGTCGCTCAGTTAGTCGGTCGCTCGGTTTTCTTGCGAAAACGACAGTGAGCTCTGTACTGTGGTGTGTTCTACCCAACAACTTTCATGTGGTAAATGTATTTATATATATATATATATACATTATGGGTGTTATTTATATATATATATATATATATATATATACATTATGGGTGTTATTTATATATATATATATATATATACATTATGGGTGTTATTTATATATATATATATACCTTATGTGTGTGTGTGATTATACAGTATGTGTGTGTGTGTGTGTGTGTGTGTGTGTGTGTGGGTCACAACTCGGTCAAATCAGGCGCTCGTCAATTTTTGGGCATGCCAAGTTTAAAGCGTGTTCCTGCCTTGCTTTCAATGACAAAACTAATCCTATCTCTTGAATGAAAGTAGAGATGTCTGGGGTTGAAGGACGTGGTTCCCGGGGTAAAATTAGCAAGAAAATATCGGCCAACGTTGGTGACTTCTTTAGCTTAAGAGTCCATGGAAACTGAAAATTTACATTTTTTTAGCCCTAAATCAACATTTTTCAGTAAAACTCAAACAGAAATAACCTTTTAGATGGAGGTAAAAAGTATTGAGATTAAAAAAACAAAAATTCCAATGAAATTGCCAAACATAAAATGCCAGTATCTTTGACTTCATTCTTTTGACCAGCGCCCGATTCCCCCACGTGGTGACACGTACGTATACATTGTTGTGGCGATGTTTCCACCCTGGAGCACATTTGTCAAGACCAAGCATAATCATTTTGTATGTCGAGTGTTCTGTACGTAGGGTAGCCTACGTGTTTGTTCTTATTCTTTTTGTACGACTTCAACACACAACCACGCACGCACGAGGGAGGGAGAAATAGGAGGCTGGGGATTGGATGAAACTTGGCCAAGTGGTCCGATGGAGGGAGGGAGGGAGGGAGGGAGGCCAGAGTAAACATGTCGCAGGTGTGTACCTGAGTGTGTGATGTGTCACAGGTGTGTACCTGAGTGTTTGATGTGTATACCTGAGTGTGTGATGTGTCACAGGTGTGTCACACGAGTGTTGTGATGAGCGTTGTAAGTTGACGGATTGTTCGAGCCAGAATGTGTTCCCACGGCATACCTTGTCTATTTATAGAGAGAAAATATACAGAACCTCCAAGTCGACCACTCGAAGGACGGGCAGGTGGGTGGTTGATGGGTGCTCTGATGTGGTTTGCTCCTTCTTTATTATCAAACATCTATCGTCCTTATTCTCCTCCTCCTTTTTTTTGTGTTTGCTACTCTTTTGTAACATCTCAAATGTTTGGCACTTCTATGACTTGATTGTGTTGTAAGTGCCGTAACATTTGACCAAACTAAAAGATGGGGAGTAGCTCCCGAGAACACAGGGTGGGGTTGTACCAAACTAAAAGATGGGGAGTAGCTCCCGAGAACACAGGGTGGGGTTGGAGAGACAGGTCACAGAACTGGCTACCTAAAGAGGAGCTGTCAAGTTTTGTTGAAACTTATGTCGGCAGATAGACTGCAAAGTGATTGAAGGTTTGCTATTTTTGCTGTGAATCTATTTGAACTTATGAACTCTTATAAGTTATGTACAACATACACAAAAACAAAGTATAAATGTAATATATACATATAATATACATGTATGTATATGTGCGTGTGTGGCCCAGTGTGGTGAAATCAGGCGCCTGTCAATTTTTGGGCATCTGGAGTTGTCGGTATCATCTTAAAGATTGTTCATTTGACCATCTTTTGATGAAATAAAATACATGTCTGTCTCAAATAGAAGTCGAGACATTTGCGATTGAAGGAGGTCGGGGTCACCTGGTTTCAGAGGTAAAATTAGCGCCAAAATGGCCTCCAAAGTTTGGTGATTTCCCAAGCTTGAGAGTCTATGGGTCAGTGGGCGGAGTCAACGGAGGACTGCCTAGTGGGGGAGGGGCTACATGGATGATAGCTGTCACTGGGCAGAGTCCTTGGAAATTGAAAATGTTCTTTTGTTGTGCTTTTAATCAACATTTTCAGCAAAATCCACACTGAAATGTGTTTTTAAATGGACCTTAAAGGTGTTGAGTCAAAAAAAAAAAAATGATAAAAACTGCCAAATGGACAGAAAAATACCAGTTTCTTTGACTTCATTATTTTGACGAGCGCCTGATTTCGCCACGCTGCCTCACATATATATTTACATACTGTGAAACCTTGGTTTAAAGTACACTGCTGCAAATGTACTATGGTCTGTAATGTTCAATGCCAGTTTGGTATGTTCACTCGTTTTGACAAATCCGTACCTGGGCTAAAACGTTCCAAATTCTGGACCTGAAGGCAAACATATCATGCTGAGGTTTTACCGTATGAAGTGTATAAATATATTAAAAATATTACACACATATTTAACCGCACATGACTATTTCTATTATTTCCCGTATTGCTTTGTAAAAGGTGTTTTAGTTGCGTAGTTTTGTCTTACGCTGTGGTCTATACTAAAGTTCTAGCACAATGTTGATGGGCAAAGCCTCACTGCTGGCAGAGAGGGCACACTGGACTCTTCCACTTGGGGACGGAGAGCTGTGAAGTTACCTGAATGTGGAGCAATGCAGCCAGAAAATGATGGAGGAATACATTTCTCCGTTTTCAGCCAATGTGTATTCAGCTAAGTATTTTATTTAGCCATTTAGAGATGAAATTGTAAATACTACTGTCCGTTTTCAGAATTGAATCTTGAAATATGTTGTTGTTGTTGAAAATAGCGAGTAGTTGTAGCTATGAATAGAGTTGAGATAGAACTACTTGTGGTTCAGTTCCTTGTTGTCAGATTTGGAAGTTGTTTAGTGTTTTGTTCTTCGTCTTTCCCTCACAACTTGTTGTGACTGTAGTCTTCCAGCGTTTGACATGTCCTTGAGAGTGACACGTGTCCTGCCTTGTTATGACACTTGGGTCGTGTGTCGATCATGAAGTATGTGTCATGCCTTAATATTGATGCTTGTGTCATATCTAGAATCCGACACGCTCATGTTTTTGACGATAACACACCACACCTTATTAATGATGAATGCTTGGAGGTTTTTCTCTAGAAATAGCAGCAATACAATTTTTCCAAGTGCTGACATGCCATGTGGTTCTAGCTGTGCTGAAATTGTTCGACTTTCTGGCAGAACTGTACATGTGTTGATTCTGTGTATCGGTGGGAGTCTATGGGTGCGCTCAGATTCAGCAGACGTGTACGATCAACCTTTGAACTCAATTGATTCCGATAATTTTGTACTGATACTCTTACGACTGCCGATAAATCCATTCTCTGTCGGAATAGAGTCAAGAGTAGATCTACTCTGTATGTACCAGCTAGGAATAGAGTCAAGAGTACGCTGGTTGTACCAGCTAGGAATAGAGTCAAGAGTAGATCTACTCCGTATGTACCAGCTAGGAATAGAGTCAAGAGTAGATCTACTCTGTATGTACCAGCTAGGAATAGAGTCAAGAGTAGATCTACTCCGTATGTACCAGCTAGGAATAGATATATATGTGTCTCGACGTAGTGGAATCCGGCGTTCGTCAAGTTTTGGGCAAATGGGGTTTCTGGTATCAACAAAAAGCCTGTTCATTTGCCTTGCTTTTGGTGAAAAACTATCCATCTGTATTGAACAGAAGTCGAGATATTTGCATAGAAGAAGATGGGGGGTGGCGTGGCTTCAGAGATGAAATTAGTGAGAAAATGGCCGTCACAGTTTGGTGGTTTCCAAAGTTTGAGAATACTTGGAAACTGACAATGTACCATTTTTGTGTGTTTGATTAACGTTTTCAGTAAGAATCCTCACAGAAATGTGTTTTCAGAAGGATGTAACAGGTGGTGAGCCAAAAAACAGTAATTCGACAAAAACTTGCTATACCGTCTGAAAAATGCAGATTTTTTTATTTTATTGTTTTGACGAGCGCCTGATTTCACCACGATGCCTCACATATATAAATCACAGACGACACTCTCTTGTTGAGTGTGATAAATCACTTGTTGAATGTGATAAATCACGGACGACTCTCTTGTTGAAGGTGATAAATCACGGACGACTCTCTTGTTGAATGTGATAAATCACGGATAAGACTCTCTTGTTGAATGTGATAAATCATGGATAAGACTCGACTCTTGTTGAATGTGATGGACGGTGTTGATGAGCTGCAGGAATCCAATAATTATTTTCTGTTTTGTTGTTTTGTGATTGGCCTTGAGTGCAGAAAATAAAAGTTTACTTATGTCTGAGCAGTTTGTAAAAGACTATGAGTGTATGGCTTAACAAAGTGGACAGGTTTAGCGCCCCTATCAACACGATTAGGTTCTTAATGTAAGAGGCAAAGTGCATGGCTTCATTTCTCAGATTTGTTTTTGGGTTCAAGATTTCCCTACGTCAGCCGTGCCATAAACAGAGAATTGGTGAGGAAAGATGGCTGATCATAGATGTGAGGTGTACGGAGATGTGTGTACAACTTTTGTGATAGATGGAGCTGTACAGTTGGCAGCTCACATCACAGGTTCTGTGGCTCACTTTGCACCTACTGGACAGGGTTGGCTTGATTTAAATCAGTTGTTTAAAAAAATTTAAATCGACTTAATTTTTGCAAATAAAAATCAGTGATTTAAATCACTTTTAAAACAAATATATTTTTATTCAGTTTTTAAACATTTAAACATTCAGAATTCCTTTCCTTGGTTTTATAAAACAAAAGGTTTTGTAGACTAATATAATCATGCTTAAAAGTCTGCTTTTCCCTCCTGTCACTATAAAATTATACAGTTTTCAATTAACTTTTTTTTCATAATTGAAATTGGCATTAAAATTTTTTTTTTAGACAAACACAAGCGCGTGCGCACACACTCACACGCACACACACACACCCATACACAAAGGAAATGTCTAGATTTATTAACTGTAAACTTAATAATTTATTGAATGTCAGATCAAATCAACTGTGACAGAGGAGAATAAAGACATTCACAAATAAATCACAAACAATGTAACAAAAATAATAATTCAGATATTCTTGCAAGGAACAAAATGGCCACTGAAGGAATTTTGAAAATAAATCACTTTCCTACAATATTAACAGTATTACAATAACCAACAATTTAGACCATGTTGAAATGACCCGTTGTGTTGTTTGGAGTTGAAGAAACTC